CAACTGCCTACTCAACATCACTATTTGGATATCTATTAAGACATTTTAAATCTGCCATGTCCAAAACAGCACTCTTGACTTTCCCCAACAAATCTCCTCTCCCACCATCTTCCCTATCTCCATAAATGTGAACTCCATCCTTCTAGTTGCTCAGGCAAAAGACCATGGAGTCATCCTTGACTCCTCTCTTCCTCTCACACCTCACACCCAATCCAACAGCAAATCCTGTTGACTCTGCTTCCTAAATGTGACTTCAATGTAACCATGTCTCATCATTCTCATCGTCATCATGTGGGCTAAAACCACAGTGGCCTCTCACCTGGATGACCCTCCTAGCAGGTCTCTCTGTTCTACACTTACCCCTGAGATTCTCTATGGTGGCCTCCTAGAAGGCTTAGAGTGATCCTCTTAAGACAGAAGTCAGATCATGCTGCTCCACTCAGAACTCTCTAATGGCTCCCATTCCACCCAGAGTAAATGTCAAAGTCCTTACGTAGCCTACCAGATGCTCACAGTCTGGCTCTGCACTGTCCCCCAACCACATGTCCTACCTCTCTCCCCTCTCATCCCAGCCACACTGGCCTCCTTGCATATGCCAGACACATCCAGTCTCAAGCCCTTTTCACTCATCATTCCCTCTGCTGGTGATTGGAGTGCGCCGCCCCTACACATCCATGTGGCCTGCTCCCTCACTTCCTGCAGTCCTCATTCAAATGTCACTTTCTCAGGAAGACCTTGCTTGACCATACTATCTAAAATTGCAACTCTTCTCCCCAAGCACCCTAATCACTCTTTAACTGCTTTATTTTTCTCCTGAGCAACACAAGTTAACAACAATTCTTTATCTTATATTGTCACCCCCTTTCCCACCAGAATATAAGCTCCATGAGGGCCAGGAAGTTTGCCTGTTTTGTTCTCTGCTGGAGCTCAGGACTCAGAACATAACAGGCATTCAGTGAACCTTAGCTGAATGAATGAATAACTAGCAGAATGATGGGCACTGGGTGGTTTTCAATCTTTTGCTACTAAAACGAATGCTGTAACGACCAATATTGCACACCGATAATTTTGCTTGTGCATGAGTACATCTGTAGGACAAATTCCTAGAAGTGGAGTTGTTGGGTCGAAGGACATGAGTAGTTTTAATTCTGATAATCATTCCCTAAAAATTTTGGTGATTAGAAAACCACCATAATCCACCACTCTATGTTAAGCAAATCACATGATTAATCGCATGGTACCCCATGCTGACCTGGCTTTTTAACTGGACGGAAAGAAAGCAATCAGGAGAAAAGCTGCCCAAGGAATTCAAGAAGTTTACCAGCCATTACCATGAGTTTCTGTCGCATCAAAGATGCCAGCGGGTCATCAGGGGATCCTGGCTGCATTGTATTCATCATACCCAGGAACTGTTTGCTTGAAGGCATGGACTGAAAGCCCAGGTCCTGTAGCCTGGATTATTTCTGGGTGTTGGAAGACTTTTTAGAAGGGAAGACCTTCTAGGTCATTTAGCATAATCCATGGAGAGCTTCCGCTTCTCCCACATGGGATCTGAGATGCCCTGGCCAAATATTTTCTTGGACTCGGCCAGGGCTGCCAAATGGCATGACCCCTGGGGACGTCATTCACACTGTGGCCTACATGAGCTGTGCACAGCCTGGGCAGCTGTGGGCAGTGACCTGCACTCGATAGCATGAGGGCCCCTTATACCTCCCCAGCCTGTGCTGAAACACTCACAGCTCTGCAACAGTAGTTTGCCATGTAGGGACTATCAGTCGACTGTTTCTGAGAGCGGGTCCACACTTTTTGCAGATGACTTGGAGGGATGCGTAAATAGGAACCTCACCCAGCCATCACCACTGTCCTCACTTGCCACAAGCAACAGTGGCACAGGCTGTTTAGGGGCTCCTTGATGGAGGAATTTGGCCTCTTAGACCCTCCAGGCTTCCCCTCCCTGCTCAATACATCCCTCCAGGGTTGAGGGCAGGAGCTACCCCACGGAACTTCTCAGTGGACAGGGTCTCAAGCTGGGCCCCACAGGCTCTATCCAGACTTTAAAGTCAAAGAGTCAGATGGGCCCGGGGCAGCACCATGCTGGTTCTTGTTGATTTGGCTCCTCTAGGGCCCTCTGGATTTGATTTTTTAAAACCTCAGCTCATGAGGCTTCTGGTCTTCGCAAATGCTAAAGTGGATTCACATGGTTTCCTGAATACCCAGGAAACAGTTTTAGAAAGAAATACACAAAGTGCACATCAACCATTTTGCATCTATCTGATCGGCAAAAACTGAAGTCTGACAAATGTGGAGCAACCGGGGCTCTCATACACAACAGGTGGGAATGTTAATACACACAACCACTTTGGAGAACAATTTGGCCAACATCTAGTGAAAGTGAGATACATATAGCCTTTGGGATAGCAATTTCACTTCTAAACATACATGCCCTAGAGAAACTTGTGCACACGAACATCTGTGTAATAACTTTTTTTTTACAGGATTATTAGCGATGATGAAAACTGTAAACAACTTAAATGATTATCAACTAGAGAATGAATAAATAAATTTAAGTTTAGTCCTACAAAGGAATACAATACAGAAGTGAAAATGGATGCACTACAGCTAAATATATCAATTTAGGTAAATCTCAAAAAATAGTGTTAAGCAAAAATAAAAGCCAGTTGCAGAAGGATACGTATAATATGATGCCATTTATGTAAAGTTTAAAAGTATGCATAAATGCCATGCATTATTTAAAAATACACATATATGTACAATAAATTTCAAAGAATGTATTAGCAGGATAAATCCCAAATTCAGCATAGTGGTTGCTATAGTCTGAACGCTCGTGTTCCCCCAAAATTCCTATGTTGGAACCAAATATTCAATGTGATAGTATTAAGAAGTGGGGCCTTTGGGAGGTGATTAAGTCATGAGGTTTCCATTTTCATGAATGGGATTAGTGCCTTTATAAAAGGTCTCAGGTGAGCTCCCTTGTCCTTCTATAATGTGAAAACATAGTAAGAAAGCACCATCTTTGAAGAAGAGAGCAAGCCCTCACCAGATACTGAATCTGCTGGTACACTGACCTTGGACTTCCCAGCCTCCAAAACTGTGAGCAATAAATTTCTATTGTTTATAAATTATCCAGTCTAAGGTGTTTTGTTACAGCACAGGAACAAACTAAGACAGTGGTTGTCTTTGTGAAGGGATGGGAATGGGGTCAGGCATTTTAATTACATTTTTAATATTTTATTTCTTAAGAATATTTATTAAATTAATAGATATGTTTTTATATGCCTGAGATATTTCATAACTAAAAAGATATTTTAAAGAGTGTTTGAATCCAGCAGGGAGCAGGATTGTGTCTGCTGAGCCTGGTAGCTGATCCTGGCAAATCTGGTCCACTTACTCCTGGAATGACATACTGCGGACTCTTGACACTACCAAAGGGTCCATCTGAAGATCTTTGTGAATCTCCGTGTTTATGAACATCACCAGAGCATATAATTTCCTCATAAAGTTCAGTAAAGTACAACTGAAACACTCAAGTGAGCACTTTAGACTGATCATGATTCTAGAGCTACAATTGAAGTAATTCATAAAAACAGATAGCTTTCTGAATTTTCATGGCCATTTTCCCTCAAAGAAACCAAGTTTGCATTTTTTCTTCTCTGTCAGATGTCATGTGTTTACAACAACTCTACGACCAGCCAGCCACATGGCTCGGGATTTACATTTATGCCTCAGGAGATTCACTAAGTGCTTCATAAAGTGGACCTTTGTGATTGCTCATGTAGAAACCTCAGATGTTATATCCAAGAACGCCTAGGGCCAATTTATGTACCATCTGGTGACTATGGAGTGGTGTGTGCTCTGGCCAATGCCAGTCCCCCCAAATATCAGGAGCCTCTTCACAGTTGCAGAGCGGGGGGGTTGGGAGGGAATGGGGATTTCAAACCCTATTAGATCTTTGTTCTTCTCCCTGTGGCATCCTGTATGAACTGCCTGGGTAAGGGTTAGTGTGTGTGTGTGCACACATGTGCAAGGTGGCACTATTGAGCACTGAGGGCCTCAGCTGGCTTGGCTGAGCTCTGACCCTGTTGCCTATGGGCTGGAGTCTCACCAGGCCCCTGCTGGTTGCTTATTGATCAGCTGGCATTTGGAAGTGGACCTCTCAGCCTGACCAGCTGGTGTTCTAATGTATGTTGCTTGAGGCAACTTAAAGGGCCTATCCAGCTGCATTTGAAATTCTGTTATTCCTCAGTGGACTGACTCATGCCAGCTGAGCCCAGTGGTCTGAAGGGTCATAGAGAGGTAAGGCCACAGATTGGGGACAGACCACCTTTAGGAGACCTGGGTATGCGTCTTCAGGAAGCCTGTGCCTCTGATGCACTCTCTGTAAAACGTGAACAGTGATCCTGCTGGGCTATTGAGAGGACCCGAGAGGAGGCAGGAATGGATTCGGTGAAGTTAAAATCACCACCCATGTGGTCTAATATCTTTCACAAAATAGTAAACTTGTTCCCTCGATTTGGGTACGAAGTGGATTCCCAGGGGAAGCTTTCTTCTCTTAGGCATCTTCTTGGTTCCTGCTGTCAAGAATCCATGCAGTGAAGTCCCCCACAAATGAATGAATGACTGAAGCTCCCTGCCCCCACACCCCAGCCAAACCTGACTTTCCACCAGTGCCGGAAGCATGCCCAGTGCTTTTCCATACCCTTGCTCATGCTGTTTCCTTTGGTGACAATATCTTATTGCCACTCTGAAATCCTACCTGCTCCCTAACATTTTGGATGTCACCCCTTCCCTGTAGCTTTTTCTAGTTTCACCCAAATTGATGTGATATCCCTCTTCTTTGAACCTGACGGCAGAGCCTATGCCCCCTTCCAGGGCCTGACACAACACCCAGAGCATGGCAGTGTCCATTAAGTCACGTGAAGCTCACCATGCCCAGTGAACCTGTTGGTGTTCCCTGACATGTGGGAGCCCCAAACCCTTACCTTGGGAGTGAACATGTGAAGGATGCCATCCACAGCCCCTCGTAGCAGCAGCCCCCGGACCAGGAAGCAGGCCAGCACCACATAGGGGAAGAGGGAGCTGAAATACATCACCTGCAGAGAGAACATGGACCCACCATCAGGCAGAGCCCCTCCCGCAGCTGGCATCCCCCTCCCTGCTCACAGCTGGGGCACATAAGCTCCCCTGATTGCAGGAGAAAGCAGAGCCCTGGAACCCCTGGGCACAGGGCCAAACCCACCGCATGTCTGGCACTGAGCCAAGGCAGAAGCAGGAGCAGGACAAGCTGGAGTCAGCATGGCTGTCCCTGGGGTTTGTTTTCTCCTTTCAAGGGCTGGCAGGGTTGGGCAAGAGCCCCCCACTCTGAGGGCTGCCAAGGAAGTGCGGCAACCCTTTGCTCTCCCCTCCTCATTTTCCCATGTCTCATGTCCCAAGGGGACTCCACAAGGATCTCCCCTGTCCTTAAAGCTCCTTTGACAGAAGACATCCTGGAGGTTATAGATACGGCTCCCACACAAAAAACATTAGAAGAATGTTCTAGTCTCTCGTGATTATAAACTATGTGCTATTTTATAGCACATGCATTTCTTGCACTTTTCTGTATCCCAATTTGCCTCACAAAATGGTTGCTGCATTGAAACAAATCAAGTGGGCTGTTGGACCAGGATGGTGCAAAGGCTAAGAGAGGGCATGTCCCGAGCTGAACTGCCTGAGTTCTGATCCTGGCTCTACCACTTACCAACTATGTGACCACGGGCTATTTACTTAACCTGGATGGGCCCCATTGCCTCATCTACAAAATATGTGTAAGAATTGCTAACTCATAAGGCGGCTGTGGACCAAATGTGTTCATTCACGTGGCAGTACCTGATAAGGACCATGAAGTATCAGCTACTATTGTGGCCTCTGGAGAGGGAAGAGGTCGGTGGCTAGGACGACTCTACCTTTCTAGAGTATAGCTTCCTTGCTCATCAAGTCCAGTAAAGAACCTGGAGCCTCACGCAGCCAGGTTCTGGTTCTAGCTCTGAGACCGACTGGCTGCGTGATGTTAGGCTATGTGCTTTCCCCTCTCTGGTGCTCAGTTTCCTCATCTGTAAAATGAGTGGATTGGACTACAGGATCTCTACTGTCCTTTTCATCTCCAGCAGTCCGTGAAATACTGATATTTGACAAATAAGAAAGTACCCTGATTTGAAAGGGCTCTGAACTGGTGGGAAAAGGTGCATGGGGCTTGGCTGAGCTGCACCCTCAGAGACACTACAGAGCTGTCCTCAGAGGCCACCATGGCCCCCTTCGCTCAGAGCACCTTCCTACTCTAATAGCCCTTTAGTTGTAGACATGGCAAACTGCTGGTTTTCACCAACAATTCAGCCTGCTCAGAGCAGGCTCTTCTAGGGCTTTAGCTTGGGAACCTGAGGGTCCAGAATCCAGAGAGATGTCCTAGGTGAACGCTTCCAGTTTTCCCTCTCTTTACTGTTTGTAGGGCAGGCCTCAGTCATCTGAGCATAGAGGAGGCACTGGAGTCAGGGCAACAATCTTCCAGCAAGCCCACCCCTAGCCCATTCCTGGGGGGGGGGGGCGGTCCTTAGTGAACAATACTAGAGTAGTAATACCCCTATCCTCTCCTCTGGGGGCCTATGTCATCATCCTGAGCCACCCAGAACCCCCTCATCCCCCACCTAAGGACCCTGCACAGAGTGACTCAGAATTCTCAGCCCTGCCTCTGTGCCTTTCTGCCACCCCTGTTTGGGTCTTGGGTGCCCACTCACCTTCCCTGAGGACTGGATGCCCTTGACGACAGCCATGCCCACAATGCTCCAGGCCACAAGGAGGCACAGGGTCATCTTCCAATTGAGGCCCCCACTCTCTGAGATGGAGTTAGAGATGTCCAAGGCCTCTCGGTACCAGAAGTAGGTAGTGGCTGAGCTCTTTTCACACTCTGCCTCCACCACTGAAATAGCAGCAAAGGCCACAGTGCCTCAGTGGTGGCCCTATGGGTCCACTTTCTCTGTTGGACTGTCCTCACTCAGCAGTGGGTGAGGGGATAGCTGAGGGTGGGCAGCTGCAACGGGCTGTGCTCATTCTGGGTTAGCCGTGGTCCGGCAGACCCTGAGGAATCCTGGGCTCCTGATGGGGCCTGGGGGCTTCAGGACACACTGAAGGACATGGCTGAATTCTCCCCCATGCCACCCTCTGGCCATGTCTATCCATGGAAAGTAGGAAGGGTTAGGCTGAATTGGCCTAAAGTTCTTTGGGGAAGATCCTAAGTTAAGAGCTGGAGACCTGGATTCTCATCCCAGATTATTGGTTAAATGGGTGGTGGGAATATGGCAAAGTCACTTCTGGACCTCAGTTTTCCCATCTGTGAAGTGGGATAATCATCCAGCCCTTTATAAGACTGGCATGCAAATTAAGACTGTTTCCAGAAAGTATGGTGTTAGAATAATACAGAGTAGTTCATAACAACTAAACTAAAGTTACAACTTCCAGAATTTTACCTATACTCATTATTTTATTCATTCTCTGTAAAACCCTACAGGATAGGCCAGAAAGAGATCATTCATACTGGGGCAGGAGAAGTGAGAATCAGAGATGTTAAGTGACTTATCCAAGGTGACACAGCAAGTAAATGAAATCCCAAACCTGTGCCCTAAGCCTGTTAGACTCCTTCCTGGGACACAGGGCTGGTAGCAGTCCCCCAGCTGGGATCCCACAGGGGGCCCATACTCACCTGCCATGGTCCCATTCCTGATGACAGGACATTCACTCCAGGGCAGTGGGTACTGGAAGGACTTGAAGAAGTAGAAGATGCTCCAGCCAATGATCACATTATAATACAGCCCAACAAAGAGGCAGACCTGAAGACAAGGTCCCACGGGGGGATCATGGTGGTTGCAGGCAACCCCACCCCCGCCCCTGCACGCCCGCCAAGGCCCAGTACAGGAGAGGACATAGAACACAGCAGCACAGCCTTGGAGGAGGAAGATTAGGGCAGCTGAAGGCCTCCTCAATCCTCCATTCATGTGGTATTCAGGAAATCCACAAAGGAATTTTCCAGATATTAGAGTTCTCTCCTTTAAGCATGAAACTCTTAAAATGTTAATCTTTTCCACTTTGAAATTCTTCTAAGATAGTTGAAGCACTTCCCCATCATTTCCTGACGACTCAGGATTACAATTACAGAAGTGCCCTGTAGGACTATGGAGGCGTGCACAGCTTTGGCCCTTATAGTAAATGGCCCCAGACTGTTGTGCTTTTTGAGATTTCATGGATGCTTCTTATTGGTTTCCTATGTTCTCTCTTCTGTCAGGAGATTACTTTCTCTTTGGTGTTGTTAGCAGCCTGCCTCTAGGAAGACGTCACTTATCATTTCTTGGAAACACGATAACTAACCTTAGTAGAATTTTATTTAAAATATGAGAACATGGACTCTGAGGGTCCAAGGGGTTTCTTTGAAAGCATGGTTTTTACAGACAGGACTCGCTGCATCCATTCCCTCCAGGGCCTGCCTGTCACATGCATCAGAGAGACTGCTGGTCAGTGTGCGAGCTGGGGACCCCCTGCTTCAGCAACCTCACCTTCAGCAGATGCTCCTACAGCACACCTTATGGGGAATATAGGTAGAGAGACACCCACTTCCTTTACTTGGGTGCTTTCAATACTAGTGGGAGACCACACACACTCCTGTGTACATGCACACGGCCAGCCCCAGCAGAGTATGCCATATCTGGCCATGTTGACCTGTGCAGAGCTGGTGGCCAGCATGAGGGCAGGGGCTGCATAGACCCTCTCCCAGTCTCTGCCTGATACATGGTTTGGGTTGGTTATGCTTCCAGGCAGGCCTGACAGAATTCTCAGTCCCTTCCTGAAGCAGAGTTTTTATCCCAGCATAGAGTTTTTGTCTCATGTGAGCATGGATGGGCTTTGCCCTTAAGGGATGCTCAGTTTCCTCACCTAGAACTCTAAGCGGGTCCTCATCTGGGGGGCCTCATGAATGAGCCTGGAGCCCTCACAGAGTTCCCCAATCAGGGCCAGTGGGGTCTCCCTGTCTCTCACCGTTCCAAAGTCTCACCCTTCCTGGGTCGACCATAGGTTCCTGTCTGAGTCCTCCAACTCTGCTCGTTTGCACAATGGCAAAATGGTAAGGGGACCCTGAGCCCCAAGACTGCCTCTTCCTGAGCCACTCACTTGCTCAATTAAAACACTCTTTGACCAAGGAAAGAGGAAGGATCTCCCTCGTAGGCTCATGGGGAGTGGATGGGCTGGTAAGCAGAGTGGTGGTCCGTCCCCAGAGAACTCTGGCTGAGATGTCCTTTGAATATGTCCTAGCTTTTCCTCCACTGCACCAATTGCAAATAATACATGCTATTTCAGGCAGTGAAGTAAACTTTCAGTTCAGGAAATATGGTGACTATGGTCCTGAGACTCCAGCTGGAGGCAACTGTCATGTTGAGGGTCCCCCTCACTGCCCTTGTCCTGGCCCAGGACTCTGGCCTATAAACCTGGGGATCCCCTCCCCATTACCCAAGAGTGGCCCCTCTTCCTCCCACTTAGTGCTTGTCCCAGCCCTGGACTCACTATGCAGCTGGAGAAGCCGATGCCCCCCAGGCGGGGGCACACATAGTGCCACACGCCGATGCTACCACGGCGGATCCTCTGGCCCACAGCCAGCTCCAGGAAGAAGAGTGGGATCCCAATAATGATCAGCAGCACCAGGTAGGGCACCAGGTAGGCACCTGCAGGGAGAGAGGAGAGATGTCAGAGGCTGCCTAGAGCACAGCAACATGCGGCAGCTGTGTCCTACAGTCCCAGCCACATGGCTGATCATCCGCAAACTGTCGCCAGTCCTGGTGCTCCTCCATATATGGTCTGGCTCATGCGTGTGACCTACCACACACTGGCCCACCCAGACCCTCCTTCTCCCCCCTTGACTCCCCTGACCCGAAACACTAAGGGAGGAACCATGTGTGTGTCAATGCCTCCCACTCAGAGAGACTAGGCTCAGAGACAGACAGACAGTGCACTGCCTCTCAGGAATCCACATGTCAAGTCACATGCCGAAAGACACACCTCACGAGGTACTCTGTAGACACCTGTTCACAACCCTCCCACCCACCGAAAAGCAGCCCAGATGGCACAGGTCCCTGCTCACTCGCCCCCAGTGGCGCAGCCTTCCTGCATCTGAACCAGATGCTGACACAGCAGACTGGGACACTCTCAGGAAAGTGGAGCTTGGAAGCTCTCCAGGGAGAGAGGATATGACCAGCATCGCCATTAATCTACAGCTAATTGGGAGGAACGGGAGAGAAATTAGCAGTTCAGGAAAGCATAGCCAATAGGATCATAAAGGATAGAATGGATCTTGCAAAAGATTCCAGATGATAAATTAATCTCACTGTCCTGGGCCTCACTGCAGACACAATCTCCATTCCAAGTGACAGGACATTTAGAAAGAGAATTAAAACCATGTCTGGATACAGATGAGTGCACCCTGCTGAGAGCTGTGCCAACAACTTAGTCCTGTTAGCAACCTTGTCAGCATGGTCCTGTTTGTCAAACAGTGTCAGGCCAGCCCTGGTCACCAGGACCCTGATGGTCACCCAGCGCTCCTAGACCAAGCCTGGCAAGCAGGGAGTCTCCAGAAGCACCCCCAGCCACACTGTTTTGCCCCCCATAACATAGCATTCCACATGCTCCTCAGTGTGTGCCCAATCTGCCAATGAATGCTGAGGATCAAGCATCTCCTGGGCACAAAACCTAGCACTTGGCAACAGTCAGCTCTTTACTGTGGGTCCACTCTGTGACAGGTACAAGCAATGGGGGGACAGCAAAGTAACAGAAGGCACAGATGTCATTCTGGGAGAGCTCGTGATCTGCTGGGGAAGCAGGACCCTCAGATTCACGTAAGCCATGTCAGCATGCATGTGTACACACACACACACACCACGGACTAGTCACACAGGGCTACTGAGCACATACATGTAGAAGGAGGGCCGGGGTGCACTGCAGCTAATCAGGGAAGCCTTCCAGGGGAGGTGACCCACTGAGCCTTATACAACAGTATCTTATTCATTAAGCACACACATGCACACACAAATTCAACTGGTCACTAACAAGCAGCCCCCGTCACGGTGCTCACAGGAGAGAGCTTAGACCCCAGGGTCTGTCTTTAACTCGGTCTCTTGGTCTTGGGTGCAGGGAAATGGAACAGGAGAGATGTGATCTGCTGCAGGAAGGCAAAGGGATACAGCCTCAGTGGTTTCATATTTCACCCCAGTATCCCTGGGGGTGGAGGGTGGGGAGACAAGATGTGCAGGGAGATGGATTTCAGGGTGTGGGCAAAGTAGGTTGCCATCTTCTATGGATGCTTCTTTCCTCACCCCGAAGAACCAGGGAAAGTCTCCAGGTAAGTGCTGTCCAAGAGTGATCCAGCAGCAAAGACCAGGTCAGCCTCCTGCCACTCAGGCCCCATCTGCCTGAGCCAGGCCCCAGGGCACTGACTTGACTACAGGTCTCTCAACCATGCTGTGGCAGAGCTAACCAGAGTGCTCAAGGGACCACGGCCTAGGTAAGTGGAATTTAAGGTTAATCAGAGGTACTTTTTCATATTAATCTTTGTTAAAATCATTTGGAAATGCAACAGCAGCCTCTTCCACCTTGGAAAATACAACCTGGGGACATAACTGGATTCCCTTTGATGTTTCAGCAGCTTGGCTTTTGGAAGCCTCAGGTCATCAGTGTGAACAGCAGGGAGCACCCACCATTCAGGGTGTTAAGAAATGTAGCAGAACATGGCCACAGGGGAGTGCAGTCCAGGATCTCTGAGGTCTCTTGGATTTTTAATAATCCTGTCTCGGTCTACACTTGAGCCTTGTTTCTGGCAACCCCCAAGGTTATTCCTGGAGTTTAAAAGACCGCCTTGGCCTCAGTTTGTTGAGAAATAGATTGAGGAGGAGCTAAGACCCTGATTCCGGATCTTTGACCCTAAGATCAAGGCTCTGCCGCTTAGTAGCTGTGTGATTTTGGGCAAATAACTTCATCTCTCTGTCTGCTAATTTTTCATCTATGTAACAAGTATGAAGATATTAAGTAGAACCATATGAAATTGCTGATATTTGATTATTTTTGACTTACAAAAATGGCCATTTCGTATGCTTCAACCCTATACCTATCGCTGTTGTGAAGATTAAATGAGTTACTTACCCATAGTAAGCACTCGACAAATATTTGCCTCTGTCTCATAAGAATAAACAGGAAAAAAAGTAAACTAAGATTATGCAGAATAAAGAAACTGTCAGCATTTGGTGGAACTAAGCAGAGTTCCAGAGTCTCCATCCAGAATTGAGCAAAGTTTGACTGGATCACACCTGGCTCAAAACCACGCAGCATCAACCCTCAGACCACAAAACTATCTCCTTCCTGTGATCATTTGCTTCCTCCTAAACAATATTTAAGATGACTTATTATAAAACTTGTAAAGTATAGGGAAGGGCAATGTTAGAGGTTCCAGCTAAGTCCCCAGATGCCGTGTGTCCTCTGAAGTTGTTTTGGGTGTCTTGGGTCTCTTCTCAACATCTCACAGGACATAGGGATATATTTATATCTTGCTTTGGCCTGGTCTTATCTCAACTCAGTGATCATGCTGTGTGGACCAAAAGCTCTGATTGGCAGTTACTTCTTGAAAAAAAATCTTTCAAAGCAAGGTGACCATGTGACGAATATACTGTACAATGGTGGAAAGATGAAAGCCTCCAGCCTAACTCAATCCCATTGGTCTGAGTGGGCACTCTCACTCCCTGCCCTTCAATAGAAACTGGAAAGGAGGAGAATCTGCCCTTTGCACAAAGGTGAGTGTGTGTCCTGGAGAGAAGGGGAATGGTCCTGAATGAGGCTGTGTCTTTTAGAGAAGCTACATGGCAAGACTCCCACAGAGGGAGGGAAGAGGCTGGGTTAAAATGCCTGCAAAGCTGTGCCACCCAACAGGCTCAAATGTGGCAATCCCAGGGCACAGGGTCTCAGGAACAGAAAGCTCTCTGCTGGTTTTCTCAGGACCAGAGGTCTGGGCTTGGAAATGTCTTTGTTTCCAGCCTGTTGGTGTTTTCCTTGTTTATTTTCAGTTAGTTGTACTCTGGTTTCAGAGCAAGCTACCTTTGGAAAATTCCAGCCTACCTCAGAGGTGCTAGGGAGACAATGTCTGGGGGCTGAAAGTGGTGATAGAGGTTTGATTCAAGGGGCGAGATCCTCCAGAGGGATGCAAACACAGGGGCAGCGTGAGGACCCCCCCCGCCCCCGCTACCGAGGAGACAGTAGGTGTGTTTAAGTGCTCAGGCTCTGGGGTCAGGCTATCCAGGTTTGAATCCTGGCTTTATCATTAACTGTAACCTCGGTCACAAATGACCTCGAACAAGTTACCTAACCAATCTGTGCCTCAGTTTTGCAGTCTCTAAAAGGACGATGATAATAACTCCTTCCTTACATAAGCTTGTTGGTGCTTTGGTTGTTCCAAGATGCTCAAATATCAGCAGTTTCAGGTATTTAAGCCTAATATCCATTAAGTGCTTAGAATAGTGCCTAGCACCTAGTAATCATTTAATAATAATGCCAACAGTTGTCCTTTACTATGTGTCAGGTAGTGCATCAGCGTTCTATTCATAAAGCTCATTTAATCCTTCCAGCTATCCTGGGAGGCAGGAACTACGGCTATCCTCATTTTACAGAGAAGCACAGGGAGCTGAAGCAACTTGTACTAGGTTCCCGAGCTGATTGGCCAGGCCGGAATCTGAACCCAGACAATCTGGGTTCTTACCATCATGCCCTACGCCTCTCGATAGCTAGTAGCCCTCATTACAGCTCTTCCTGGGGAGTCTGGAAGCCTGAGCTCCAGCCTACATGGGGCTCCAGCTCTGCCTCAGCAAAGGAGTGTTCCTTTTCGTGCATCAGCCCACCCCATTTGCAGGGCAGCACCAGGGCAAGGAGGACTGCCTCTTACCTCCTCCGTTTTTCTGGCACAAGTAGGGGAACCTCCAGATGTTGCCGAGGCCCACAGAGAAGCCAATCTGGGCCAGGATGTACTGCAGCTTGCTGTTCCAGGCTGGCCGGTCCTCTGCATCCAGCTCCTCCTCCACTGCCTTCTGCTTACTGCCTGCCTCACCAGCTATGTTCAGTACACTCTGCTTATAGTCCACAGGCTCCTCAAGGGCCAGCAGGTCGGCCACCGACTCAGTGACATGCTCACTGCTGTGTTCGCGCTGGGTTACCTTGCTGTTCTTCGGCATTGGTGCCACCTGGGCTGTGCAGCCCTGCTCCCCAGCACACAGAGAAGGTGGGACTCAGCCGCTGTCAGCTCCTTCTCATCCAGGGACCTATGAAACCAGGTGAGCAGGAGAGGATTAGCTGGCTACACCAGGGAGGTGGGGAGCCCAGAGTGGACACAACCCAAATCAACTCCCTGCCACGCACCTTGGGGCTGCTCAGGGGCTCAGCTCTTGAGCTTGCCTTCCCTCCCCATCAGGGGGTGCCCGCTGAGGAGCTCAAGGTCTACAGCATCACCAGAAAGGTAAACCTAATGGAGCAAAAAGGGCAAAGCATACACCAAACCCAAATGAAGGGTTACCTGTGACAGCGTTGCTCTCTTTCATACTGCAAAGCCTACACCGTTCAAGACCCTTCAGAGGTTCCCACAACCTTCCCCTTCCAGGGTAGCCAAGGTTGTAGCTAAGACCAAGCATTCTTGTGCCTATTTAGCCAAAAACACTTGGTGGGAGCCAGGGAAGCCAGTGTTTTCCTATCCCAGGATCTTTGTATTCAAAATGTAATTCATGGTTGGTTAGAAATGCAGAAGCTGAGGCCCAGCAAGACCTACCAAATCCTTCTCTGTACTTTTACAAGATCTCTAGATGATCCAAAGGGACATTAACACTTGCAAAAAAAAAAAAAAAAATTACCTTGGGGATCCTGGACACCAGCTCCTATGGCCCCTTCATTCCCTGGCAGGAGCAGCTGACCAGGCTCAGCTAAGGACTCTGGGAACAGAGCCCTAGAAGTGTTTGCTCAGTGCCAGCAAATCCTGGGTCATTGCTCAGCATTGACATTATCTGAGGGCCACTGCAGCCAAGAGCTGGCTCTCCATCCTTCAGCGACAGCTTTACAACAGATAATGTCTGCACAACATGGGTGGGGGAGGCAAAACTCTCCCCTGCTCCTACCATTCCCCATTTGTCTTTCATACTTCCCCTAAAAGAAATAAAGCACCAAGAAAATGAATCCTTTGAAGAATCCCAACCTTGTGTTATATTTTAAGGCACATCCTCACTAAGGGGAGGTTGGAGGATTTAAAATTAAACACATGCACACCCGGCCTGCAGTTGCCCTGCATCTTTCTAGGGATGTAAATTACCCAGCTCTGTAATTATTTTATTAAGGGAACACTGCTGTCTCTGGAAGCTGGGCTCCCTGTTTGCTCTCCTTTTATGCATGTACCACCTGAATGGCACAGGCAAGGTCACCATGCAACAGAAGGGCCCAGGGCTGCCCTTCCTGCTGGGCTTGACCTAGACCTCATGGCTGACTCCAGCAAAGACCCGACCTTCAAGGACACATGGCCAGCCATGCTCTATTATACGAGTCATGAAACTGGGAGGCCTAGCAGATGGGGATGACTGTCCGTGCTGATCTGTGGGGTCAGCTAGCTCTCCCCAGGCCAGGCCTTGGACCACATCATGGGGTGACACCTCCTTGACAAATTCATCCAAGGGGGACAGTGAGTCTTTAGTGACTGCTCCCTCCCACCCCAGGAACAGTCATGGTCTTGGGTTTTAGAGTAACTGGGCAGAGCCAGCCTGCCTTAAAGACCTTGGAATTCCCTGTAAGAAGCTCTCTGTTGGGGCTTCACTTCACAATAGGCCAGCTGAACACCCCATTGTGTCCTGGAGGGTGCCCCAAGGGTGGCACTTGTATGTCTGTGGTCCCTTCTGCCCTCAGCCTCCCCCTGGAGCTGCTGTGTTGCCCATGCTGTATAAGTGAAGGATGTCCCTAGGAGTGGGGGATCCGTGTCCTTGCCTGGGCTGCCAGGATAAGCCCTCCTCCCCTACTCAGCAGGTCCCTGTCCCCAGGGAGCTCAAATGGAGGAAACCTAAGGCATATGTGAGGGCTGCTTGTCCAGGCACCTCATCTTCCCCTACAGCTCACCTCAAGAGTTTCATTAAAGACTACAGCTGGGGAGAAATGTCGGGGTCCCTCTGGAGACTGTGATCACTAGAGTGCCTTGACTCAGAGACTCTCTCAGCTACTCTGCCTGCAGCAGGATTTGATCAGAACAATCTGCAATGCATTAGATATGATTTATTGATCATCAAGCCACAGCTGGAGAAAACCAAGGGGGATCCCTGCAAGTCTGCAGAATTTATCTTGGTGCTGACCAATAGGAGCACGTTTCCTCATAAATAGCCCAGGGAGTGGCAGCTCCAGTCACCAATATGAGAAAGGGCTGAGAGGAAAATAGTGTCATTTTAAACTAGGAGGACTCAAGGACAAAGTTAGCACATTCAGGTAAAGCCAGAGAAGGAAACCTACAGCAAGGTCATGGCAATTACAGGCCATCAGCTCAGTACTCACTTCCTCTTTCTTCCTGAGATGTCAGTGATGCATATGAGCAGCCTGCATTGCAGGATGGGGCTCAGGGAGCCCCTGTGCCATTAGATGTGCAGAATGCAAAGTGCTGGTGTGAACCTGCATGCTGAGACACCAGGCTGGGCTGCAATCATGACCAGAACCTCTGTGCCCAGTGAATATGCTCAGGTGGTCACCAGAATCAGATTCTTACGAATTAAAGCTGGAGGGACCCTAGCAATTGCCCAACTCAACATTTGCATTTTATATATGAGGAAACTGAGGCCCAGAGTGAGAAAGTGAATTGCCCAATGCTACTCAGGCAGGTTCTCCTGACACCTTGACCAAAGTCACAGCTGGAGAGGCCTACCCACTGAGCCAGACTCAGCGGGGGGCGAGGGGGGCACACAGGGAGAAGATGATTGTGTGTGCGGTGTCAGCATGGGCTTTGAAGTCAAACAGGCCTGGATGTGAGAGTTCCTTTTTAACTCACTCATTCATTCCCTCTCTCGCCTGACATACATTTCCTGCGTTCCAGGTTCTGTTCTCGATGCGAGCAGAACAAGCCAGTGTCTCCTCTTGTGGAGTTCACATGTTTTGTGGAAGCACCAGATACTAAAGAAATGAATGCATGACATGACGGGGTGGAGTAAGGTGGCAGCTGCTCTTTTATGCCGGGTGGGGGTGAGGCAGTCAGGAAAGGCATCTCTGAGGAGGCGGCATTTGAGCGGAGTGAGCCCATGTGACATGATGGAAGAGTGTTGGCAGAGGAAGAGCAGACAAAGCTCCTGAGAGGGACATGGCACTGGCAATTCCTGGAAGGGCAGGTGGCCAAGTGGCCAGCCAGAGCAAAGGCAGAGGGGAGATGGTGAGAGGAGGGGTGGAGAGGGCCGGGGCGAGCACCGGAGGACTGGGCACAACTAGCTGGGTGCATCGATCTCCTCATGGGTGGGAGGGATCACTTCAGGACTGTTCCCATCTCCCAGGGAGGGCTGCTGGAAAACCCAGGCAGTTACCACACAGGAAGTGCCTGGCACCAAGCTTGGCACCCGGGACAGACCCAAATGGTAGCAGCTGCTGCCAGACACCTTGCATTGTATGTACCTTCATATATTTAAAAATGTGTAAGTCCCCATATTTCCATTTGGTCCCGTAAATCCCGTTTCTCTTCAGCAAGGACCCAAGTGAGTTCCCAGAGGGAGCAGAGGTGGAAGGTAGAAAGAAGCATTTCACGCCACCTCAGAAATGTCCACCTTTGTTAGCGAGAACTGGCATCCTCCTGAGTCTGTGGGGCAGCAAACTACAGAGTCCCAGCACTCACGCCTGTGTCACAGGGAGCCAGGTAGAGACCATGCAGCTCCAGGCCTTGGGTCAAAAGATCAGCAATGTTATTACTAATAAAGACAGGGCCTTGTATCAAAAGCTTAATTTTATTATTAGTAGTAAAAATATAGCTCACATTTGTAATCTTTTGAAACCGTTTAAAAACATTTTTACGTCCTCTGCTGGTAGAGTACGGGGTGATGACTCTGCTCGGGAGTCAGGTGGCCCAGGTTCAAATCCCAGCTTCCCTGCCTACCAGCCACCTGACTTGGGCAAGTTTCTTAACCTCACTGAGCTCAGTTTCCTCATCTGTCAAAGAAGGATGCCAACAGTGCCCACCTCTCAATGTGGTGAGGAGGAGAGTGTGCACAGGTCTTAGATTAGAGCTGGGCCGGCACCCTGGAAGTGCTCACAAACATTGCTCTTCCTCTGCTCTCACTGGAGCCACCCCGCAGCCCAGGAAGGTGATTTGGCAGCTGCCATCTCTCCAGGTTACAGATGCGGCACTGAGACCACGGTGTCACAGAACGGGGCTCAGGTCATACAGCTGTCAGCACCCAGGCCGCCCCACTCCTGTGCTCTCTCCGTTCTCCAGGCTGAAAGGGTTTCTAAAGGGAGGTGGAGGCAGGGACTCAGAACAGCCCTCCCTACCCCACCCCCCCACCCCAGTTCCCTGATGCCTGGAGTCCACGTGCTGGCAAAAGGCCAAAGTGCACAAAGCCCTGCCTTGGACAAGCACCAGGATCAGAGGATCCAGAGAGGGGAGAGTCCTCTCTGCACCTGCCTTTGCATCTGTGGAGCCAGCCGTGGTCCGGGCATAAGGAGGACGCTGGTCCTGACCAATCCCCAACCAACTGTGCAAACTGGCACCACTGCCCTAACTTCCCAGGGCCTTGATTCCCCTGTGTGTAAACAGGTTGGTCTGGGTGATCCCCAAGGCTCCCATCAGCTCCAGCGGGTATCCAGCGAGAGCCCCTCCTGTATGTGGGTGTCAGCAGCACATGACCCATCCCAAATAGCAGGCACAGCAGGACCTGCAGCCTGTGTGTCCTGCCACTCTCTGTCATAGGGGTGCACTGACAGCCAGCCCAGCATACTCTAATTATCTCCCTGTAGTAGCTGGGTGGGTTGTAAAGTTGCTTTCATGAGCAACATGTTAGATGATGAAGGTGCATGGTTTCTCTGAAAGGAACGCTTCAATTACCTAGAGCACAGTGCAGGGGCTTGAGCGCCCGGCAAGCCTGGTGCCAGCTTGTCACTTAGCAACAGAGGCGGCTTACAGCTCAGAATAGCTCATGTGAGAGAAGCAGGACTGAGCGAGTCAACTGCGAATCTTCTTAAAAGGAGAAAAAAATAGTGTGACTAGAAGGCAGACAGGTAAAAATATCTCCTGTCAGAGGGCTGATGGCTCCACAACTTTTCAAGCACAGCA